TCCAAGGGTCCCGTCCCGCCATGAGGAGGACCCCAATGGTGGACTTCCCTGCGCCGAACCGGTGTCCCATTGAGCGGTACCCAGCAGGGGGGGCCAGCTTCCAGATGGCAATTGCGACCCTCTTCTCCAGGGGGATGGCGGGCCGCAGGTGGGTGTTGTATCTCCGGAGGGCAGGGGCAAGCCAGGCACACAGCTCCAAGAACTTGGCCTTCCGCATGCAGAAGTTGTTGAGCCACTGCTGGTCGTCCCACCGCTCCATGACGAGGCAGTCCCACCAGTCAGAACTGGTGTCCAGCCTCCAAATTCGTCTCTTGACCAGGGGCAAGGGCACTGCTCCTGCATCCAAGCAGAGGGCCTCAGAGATGAGCTCAGAGTCAAGCTGGGGCAGGACGGTCTGCTGAAACTGCCGCAGAAGCTGCAGCATGACAGCGTGGGACCATCGCATGCCTAGGAGCAGCTCTGGCTCCATGGTAAAAAGAGAAAAGAAATGCTGTGGCATCCAACCAACCTGGGCAACCAGAGCACACGCTGCAAAGCTTTGCTGTCCCTTAGAGAGATAGGCAAGCACACAGCAGAACCTGAGAGACTGCTGTCCAAGGGGAGGGTCCCTGTAAGCACGTGTCTCAGATAGCCTTAGGCAACAGCACCCGGAAGTAACTGCTGACCTAATGCACTGCCAGAAGTGGTTCTGGGTGGCCTTTTATGCGAGTGTGTCCAATGAGTGTGAGCGCTCTCTTTCAAAAAAGCAGATTGCTTTTTTGATCTGCTTTTGCAGTGTGGATGCTCTCTTTCGAAAGAAGATTTTTAGGAAGAGATCTTCCAAAAAAGCTTCTTCCGAAAGAAGCTGGGAGTCTAGCCGTACCCTCAGAGAAACAGGGAGAGACAAGGAAAAAGACATCGTGGGGTTGGGAAATTTTGAAATCCCAGGTGCAGTTATTTGTCTTTTATAAGATGTAAGTAAATGCATTGCTGGCATTTTACCTGGGCGTCTGTATTCTGGAAACAGGCCCACGCGGTGAAGGAGTCTGTTAAAATGTTGTTAAGAAGGTTCCTGTGATCCTGCTTCACCACCTGGGGGTCTCCTGTGGGTGATGAGGCAAGACCAGGGGTCTTAGTCTAAGGTGGCACCAAACACACCTAACCAGCGAGTCTCCTCCAGAGCCTGAGGGCCTCTCCTATCCGTGAGTATGGAAAGGCCGTGCTCTTAGTGATCGGGCTTTGACTAATCTAAAAGATGCACCAGGAGTAGTGGGCTCCTCTTTACAACAGGAGGGGCCATTCCAAAGACTCCTAAACCTCATTCCATAGAATCATTGGGGGACGGGGATGGGGACGGG